CCCCCGTCCACCCGCCCCCCCCCCCCCCCCCCAGATGCTAACAGGACAGAGCATCAGGTCAGGCTGACTGGCCAAGGAAGAGCAGGAGCTCTGTCCTAGGAGGGGAGAGAGGGGCCAGTGTGTGTGAGGGCGTCCCCAAGACAGCTCTGTCCTCCCAGCCTGCAGCTGGCTATCCAACATCTCTAGAGCCCCTGAGTCTCAAGGGATCCCAACACAGACGCAAGAGCAGCAGCCTTGGCCAATTGTTCCAGGTTTGCAGGGACTGTCCGTGGCTCCCTGCTCAGACTGGCCAGTGGTGCACGTTGGCACTAACAACAAGTGGCGCCATGTTTCACCCAGGCTGACGGAGTGTTTCTTGTGGCATTACCTGATGCTCACAGGTGTAGTCCATGCACTCTTCCCCTGGCCCCTGTGGGGCTGACGGGGAAGAGGCCCAGGCTAGGCTGGAGCCTAGCTCCCCTCTCCTCCTCTGGGCACCATGAGCAGGGGTGGCTGGTGCTGATACTCAAAAGCCACAGAGCAACCGAGGCAGGGCAAGAGGGGGAGGGCAAGGCCAGGCCTACATGTGGCTACAGAGACCCCCCTGGTCGGGCTGCTCCCTGCCCTCTGGCTGCCAAATGCTGAGAGAAGGCCCCACTCACCAGCCCATGGGCAGCTGCTGACACTCTGTGACCAGTGTGAGAAGGTGTCAGAAAAGCAGGGCTAGGCCCCCTCTGTGCTCCCACTCCAGGAGCTCAGAGGGGCATGTAGCCAGACAGACGCCCCCCCCCCCATCCATCTTATTTATCTTATTTGCCTCTCTGAAGTTCCTGAAGCATACAGGGCAGAGAAGGAGCAATAAAATCAGCATAGCCATTAAGCTTTGATCTGCTTTGATGCGAGATCAGGATATGCGGGCTTGTCTGACTCTGAGTTAGCTGAAAATATAGATATGAAAAAAGAGCGATTAAGGCAATAAGCTGACCTCAAGGCTGCGAGAACTGCCCTGGCTGGCACCCATGTTGATTCGATCACACACAGTCGTCCCTGGGAGAGGAATCTCCCACTGAGAAAAGAATCTCCAGTACTTCCAATTTAGTTATCTCTCTTACAAGTGTAAATTAAGTTCACAGCTCCCTTGTAAGAATTGGTCTCACAAAAGACAGACCAGCACCATTTGGCATCAGAGATAAGAAAGAGAAATACATGACCCCATGGGTATAAAGATGGGTCCAGCAGCACACTCACTTTGAGTGTCAGTCTACCATCTACCTGCTGGTCGGGTTAGGTGTTTGACCTCCCGAGGTTCCACGGGGACGCCCACCTCCTAGGAATTGAGGGACCGGCCCTGGCCTGACACCCTGGAGTCGAGAGGCACAGAAGGGGGTAAAAATTGTACCTGGATGTGGTTCTTTGTCTTAAGTGTACACATAGACTTAGAGCTCTTTAAAGATTAAGCTGTCACTTGGTACCATTATTTCTATTTTCTATCTTTATTTTTTATGTAACCATTTTTAAGATCTATATTTGCTAGCAGTTAAGAAATAGAGCAATAGCTATTGGAACCATATGATTTATAAGCTTCTTTAATAAACCTGTAACTGGTTAAGTTTTAACCTGACTCCTTCAGTTGCAGTAACAGAACCAGGCACAATTTAAAAGAACTTTAGCTGGTCTTAAGGGATAGGTATAGGAAGAGCTTGGGCATTTGGATCGTGTCACTGCCAGGTGACAGGTCCGTTGGGGCATCTCTCAGTCTTCCCTAGACTGCCTGCTGTGAAGGGATCCTGTATCCTAGCAGCTGAAATCTGAGATGTAATGGGCTCTTCCTATAAACTTGGGGCATCTGTCAGCCTATTGGCTGCCCTCTGTGACGGAACCCCGGTCCTAGCAGTAAAGTCACGGATGTTAAACTCTTTTCGGGGTGCCCTTCAGCCTCCAAGGCTGCCCACTGCGATGAGACCTTGCGTCTCAGCAGTTGAAGACTTGGGTGTAACACACACGCATACACTGCCTTGACGGTCAGCTGACAGGGGCTCAGAGCTGCACATGGAGCTGCCTGACTGGATGGAGTTGATTAAGCACCTGCAGAGCTGTGCTGCCATGCAACTTAGAGGGAACCTTGGTTATGACTAGCCCTTGCCCTAGGATATTGAAGAAGAGAAGTCTTCTAGAACTCTGTTTCCTCTTCATAATCTCTCTCTCTCTCTCTCTCTCTCACACACACACATGAAGACTCTCAGGCTATGTCTACGCTGGCGGGTTCTTGTGCAAGAACATCTTGTGCAAGAGTTCCTGTGCAAGAACACATCCACATGGCCATGTTCTTTTGCGCAAGTGAATCCATGGGAGTGTGGAAGCTCTCTTGCTCAAGAAAGCTCTGATGGCTATTTTAGCCATAGGACTTCCTTGCGCAAGAAACTCCTGCTGCTCGTCCACACCCAAAGAACCTTCTCCCCAACAAGTGAGAAACAGAGAAACACCCAGGGCCCAGATGTGCTATTAAATAAGCCCTTTAAGCCCAGGGGCCTATTTGGGAGAGAAACTACCCCACGCACTGGCCTGGCCTCCTCCTCTCTAGCAAGGCCAGAATGGCAAAGGCTCATATAGGAGCAGCCAGGGATCCTGCCTGCCCAGCAATTCCTTCCCAGGGCCCAGCTAGAGCCAGGCCAATGGGCTGAAGACAGCAGGTCCCACAGATAGAGACAAAGCCAAGCCATTGCTATTGCAAAGGGATGAAGCCTGGACAAGCTGGGTTCTCTGAGTGCATTTCTCAGCCAGGCAGCCCGTGTCCTCAGGCATATAGCACTGTCACAGGCTAGCATGGCTGCCTATTGTACAGGAAGTGAGTTTGGTTGGGGTAGCAGCTGGGAGGAGGCTCTGCATAGCACTGGGCCCTAGTCAAGTGCTTCAGATAACCATCACTGCGACTCCAGCTCCAACTGCAGCACACCCAGCAGCCCACTACTTACCCTGATGTTGCATGAGGAACCCCCAGTGGGCAGGGCTCATTAGCAGCTGGGGGCATGACCTGGCAGTGTACCGTGGCCTGGCAGGCAGGGATTCCTGGCCCACAGCAGGTATGGGGACAGGCAGTTGGGAATTGCTGATTTAGAGGAGCCAGAGGCACTGCAGTTTCAGGAAGTGAAAGCAAGAGATTTTGATTGGCTGCCAGGCGCTCCACATGCTAACCGGAAGGTGTTTGTGTGTCTGTCTGTCAATAGGGATATGGCGTATATTCTAGTATACAGTTTTCTGAATAGGGCAGAGTATGCTTTAATGGGACAAGTCCTTCATTAAGATTATTTCTGTTAGTTTTCAAAGTGTCCTGCTAAGAATGTATTTTTAGGGATAATTTCTATAGTTTGTAATTAGAGGAGTGTAGCTGAAAGTGGTTGGTGGTGTTAACCACAAGGAGGAGTGATAGTGTTCTCTTCAGAGTGTGAAATGAGCAAACAGTATTGCTTTAATGCAGCTGCTGTCTGCTATTGATGATGGTTTTCTTTCCTATGAGAAAGTTAGAGGAAGAGAGCACAGACTGAGTGGTTGGTTCTTCTAAAAAGGGTTAAAATTAGCTTTGTGTGTGAGAGAGAGAGAGAGAGGCAGTGATTTCACTTTTTGTTTCACCCTGCCCCCACTTTTCTTTAATTCCTAGTTTCACTTGTACTGCTCTGGCTGTGATTCTGCTGCCTTCATGCTTCCCTCTCACTTGGGTGTTAGTTTTTTTCCACATGCTCCTCACATTGGACCAAGGCAGCCCCTTGGGTCTGCCTCATGTCTCATCTCCCATCTGCTCCCTATTGGTCCTGGAGGGGCAGAGACTAGCCACAGCACAGTGTTAATTATCCATTGGGCTATGTCTATTCTGCAGCAGTTTTTCGGAAGAGGAAACTTAAATCTCACGGTAATTTGAAAATCTTGCACTTTCATTTACATATTCTCTTCCAATCCTTTTTGCAGAAGAGGTTTTTGCGATAAAAAGCCTTGTGTAGATGAGGCCATTTGTCGGGAAAACTCTGTTTTGTACAAGATCCTGTAAACTTCAGAACTCACACGGCAAGGCATGTGGCACATGTGGAGTAACTGTGGCAGGGACTGGAGTCAGACGCAGCTGCAGGCTCTGCCCAGGGGCCAATGGCAGTGGGCTGGGCAGGGCCTGAGCAAAGGCAGGGAGTGACTGGTGGTGGGGGGGAGGAACAGACTGGGGCATTTCGGAAGGGGGCGGGTCAAACTGTGCATGCATAGCGAGTCAGTGACTCTGGTCTGAGCCAGGGTCAGGGCTTAGTTCAGACCAGGAGCTACCTGGCCATGCTCCAGCCCAGCAGGGTTGGACTCTCTTGGCAGGGTCGCAGGCTGCAGCCTTTCAGCCTATTGATTGTGTGAAATTAAGCCCACATTGCAATGTCTCAGATTCAAGGGGCTGTAACTTGTGCACTTTAACTTCACCCCTTTAGCGACATCCCTTCCTAAGGGGATGGTCTAATGGGAAATGGGGGTAAGAACGTGTATTAATTGCTCTTCCATCACAACTACACATATGGCACTCAAGCTACATCTACACTGCAGGCTTCTTTTTGTGCAAGAGTGCTTCCACACCTCAAAGTGCATTGCAAAAGGGATGTGCTTTTGCGAAAAAGAGCATCCACACTGCCTGGATGCTCTTGCACAAGAAAGCTCTGATGGCCTGCAGAGTATCCAGACTTGCTTTAACAAAATACAGGACTATGTAGCACTTTAAAGACTAACAAGATGGTTTATTAGATGATGAGCACAAAAACCTGGCAGTGTAAACGTAGCCTCAGATGCAAATACCTGAGACAGCAAAGTAGCACAATTGGTAGGCGAGTGGTCATAAAAAAGTTTATCTTCTTCGAGTGGCCCCGTGGGTGCTCCACTCTTGGTGTCGGGTCCCGTCCTGGTGCCACAGTTTGGAGAATTCTCATAGCCGTGCTCCGCCGGACCACGTGGCTTCCCTGAAGCACCGTTCGCGCCTTTGATCAGCTGCGCGTGGACCGGCAACCGGCAGTTCCTCTCAACCACCTCAGGTTGCAGTCGGAGTTCCCTGTGTTCTTCTGTTTCTTCTCTCAGAAATGATCCTAGCTAGATTTTCATCTGTAAATAGTTAGAAGTTTTAGTGTTAGTCATGTTTAGTTAAAGCGCTAAAGAACTGAAATTGACAAAGCAGCAAAAGCGGGGATCAAACAGGCATTCAGCCACCCTTATTGGCCCTGACAATGCCGGGGTTGCCAGGTTTTAAAAAATGCTCAGTTTGTGGTGAAGCCATGCTGGCAGCTGACAGCCATGACGTTTGCATTAGGTGCCTGGGGGAAGCACACGTCCCCCGGAAGTGCATCCACTGTAGCAAGCTCACATCGAGGGCCCGGAGGGAGCAGGAGTTGAAGGACTGAATGATGGCCTTACCGATTGATGAGGCAATCGTGGAAGTGGTGGATGAGATATGGCAGACGCCAACATCGGTTACACCTATGAGTAAAAAGGCCGATAGAAAATACTTTGTACTGGCAAAGGGGTTGGATTTTCTATTCAATCATCCCCAGCCTAATTCATTAGTAGTTGACGCAGTACAACGTAGAAGTAAGGCACTGCAATACAAAAACACGCTCCCGGATAAGGACAATAAAAAATTAAGTATCTTTAGTAGAAAAGTCTACTCCTCAGCCACACTTCTGTTACGCATTGCAAACTATTCGGCTCATTTATCTAACCATAATTTTGATATTTATTCAAATTAGCAGAGTTACTACACCATCTCCCAGACAGCAAGAAACCACTTCTGAAAGCAATAGTACAAGATGCATACGCATCATGTAGCACTGCACTGCAGATTGCCATGGACGTGGCTGACACAGCTGCTCGAGCCACTGCTACGGGCATCGAAGTGAGAAGATCGTCATGGCTTTCATCCGCAGGAGCACCAAGAGAGTTACAAAGCAAGGTTGAGGATCTGCCTTTTGATATGCTTAAGCTTTTTGTGACAAACACCGATGAAGACCTTCACTCAGGCAAAGATTCCTGCACCACCCTACGTACACTGGGGATGTACACGCCTCCCTTCAGATGTAGGCACTATTATCCTTATCAGTGGAGATATGATTTTAATTTCCCGAGACAGCAAATGCGTACTGTGGAGAACCAACGCCCTAGGCAATGTCCTCAACGAAAACGACCCCAACAAAACTGTTTGTCCAATTAATCTTCAGCCAAACAGCAGATTTGATGCCTTCCATAGTCAACGCGGAATACAAAGATCTGCACCTCTTATGTTATACCAAATAAAAGCAAGCAGGATCTTATGAGGGGGATAAGGCAAAAAGCCACATTTATTGTAAAGATAATAAAAAAATAAAGAAAAGATAGAAGCAAACAACGTTGTTTAACTACTTATTCCTATCGCTACTTAACCCTTATATACTTATATATAACCATTCATTCATACATCCATTCATTCAAGTTCTGTGTATAGTTACCAGCCTGGAAGTTGCTTGTGACAGGATACTGGCCAGGTACTCTGTACACAAGTGATGGTAGTGGGGAGCGAAGTCCTGATCAGATGCGCATCTGAAGCTCCTGATAGGCTGGCAGCAGAACCTTGGATTCTGATTCCATAGTTTTTTTAGTCCAGTTCTTATAGGAATTTCTTCCTATGCCAGTCTATGGAAATTGCTGCATCATGCTGATGTCTCCAGGGTGGCTGCCAGGTGCTCGTCAGTGATCTCATCGGGTGGACCTCCAGTACTTGGTTTTCTCCACTTGACACCTTTTGGTTGCACTGGCACCTGACGCCTTCTTCAGCCCTTTGTTGCTGTATTCTCAGGCTGGCACCTCTCAGAACCATTCACTCATCATCCAAGCACTCTCTCTCTCTTACATACATTCCTCAATGTTTCCCATACAATGTTTTTGTATAATAATAACTTTACATATATCAGAGTTGTAGTTACAAAAAGTTTCTGGGTGGTATTGCTTAAAACATTCTCTGAGTGCTGAGTAAAGTTACAATGTTTTAAAGAGAACAGGCGTCAATTAAGTAACAATGCCCTTAGTCAATTACAGGGCTTGCTCCCATAGCAGAGTTAGTGGCTTGACAATGCATTGTTACAATGTATTTCTGCAATGTCAATTTCAAGCAGCCCCTTGCACAAGCTTGAGCATGCCCTGGGGCACAGAGGGGGGGCTATTTCTGGCTACATAGGATTGTATTCTTAACAGTTCTAAGTTACATGACCTAATACATTATATTCTAAAGGGGCAATAATAATAATGAATCTAAACATTTAGCAATCTTAACAAATAATAATAAGAAGAATTAATAATAAATCTAAACACTTTAAGTTGTGGGGAACAAATTATGGGGAGTCACTTCCATTTGGGGGAATAATTTTCAATACATTAATATGTTATCCCTACACTTCCACCATCGCCTGAGACCATACCACCATTATTGGTCCTGCATCACCACAGACAAATGGGTACTAGAGGTGTGTAGAGAATCAGCAAGCATAGTGCTTTGGCCGCATGACAGAGCGTCCCAAGGACGAAACCAAGCAAGAGTCCTGAGCCAACAATAACAACATCTGCCTGAGTCAATGACCTTCGAGAATTCTGTGTTTGGGACTGGGAAAAAGCAGTTTGTAAACTTTTAAGAGTATAAAGGTAGTTGTGATCTTGCAATAAAATGATTTCGTGCTTGCACCGGCCGGAGTCCGTGCCTTCATACACCACAAATGGCGCCCGATACAGGGCTTGAACTGAATGAGTGATTCAAACCGGTGGTGTACCCGCGTCTGGACGGAGGATAAGTTGTTGAGAGGAGCTCCCGAAATTACTGACATCACCATTCGCAGGACGAACAGGTGAGCAGCCGCGGACAGAGTAACAG